TTTCATGTCTACTACTCCACCAATTTTATCAAATATGTCAAGGCCAGGTAAAGAGAGTTTAAACTCTATGGATAGGCACATATGCTGAATGACCCTAGGTAGCCCTATGTAGGAATTTTTACTTTATCAAAAGGCAAGACAGAATGAAGAGGTATATGTATCCTTCCCACCTTTACACTAGAGAAACCATGTAACAGCCTTGATTTTGTTCTTATTTTCTGAGTTAGGTAGGGCTTCCAGATAATTAAATTTGTAGCTTACTGTCAGAAAAAATGGACCGTATGAAAATTAACTCAAGGCACTAAATAAATAAAAGTGTAAGTTCCCTGATTATTTTATTTAACACGGCCACTCACAATCTACATATTTGCAATAAATATGTTGGACACCTTGAGCAAGTTACTTTTATGAGCCTTCGTTGTTTTTTTTCTTTTATTTATTTACTTTGAGAGAGAGTGAAAGTGCTAGTCGGGGAAGGGCAGAGAGAGGGAGAGAGCGAAATCCATGCAGGCTCTGCAATGGTAGTGCGGAGCCCGATGTAGGGTTCAAACCCACAAACCATGAGATCATGACTTGAACCAAAGCTGGACGCTTAATTGACTGAGCCACTCAGGTGCCCCTACTTTTCTGTGCCCTAGTTTTATCATTTGTTCCTTCAACATTCAACATTTATTTAATGAATTCATTATATTTAATGAATGGTATTGTAGAAACTATGGGAAGAAATAAAAGAAACCATCTTAAGCTTACAGGCTAGTGAGTTGTCACCTTTAAGTGAGATATTGCAAATAAAGTGTAGAGGCAGATTGCTAATGCTCTAGGATGCCTCTTCTTCCAAGGCACACAGTGAGACTACATTTCCCAGTCTCCCTTGCTGTTAGATATGGTCATGTGATTTCATTCTGGCCAATGGAGGGCAAGCCTGGTGAGTAGTACCATTTCTAGGCAGGGCCCATGCCTGATTCTTTTCTTTTTCCATGGTCAGCCAGCTGATGGAGAGGGTACTGACAACTAAAAGGAAAGCACAGTGACAAGACCAAGACAGAAGGAGGCTGCATAACTGCATAAAGCCTGGCCCCCTGGTAACCTCAGCACTAGACTGTGATAAGAGCAATAAATGAGTCGTGTTAAGCCACTGAGATCTAGAAGTTTACTCATTATAGTAGCTACGTTACATTAAGGATTTGTATTTAATCAGTGCAAATCTTCAGCAACATCTGGCCCATTGTAAGCACTAAATAAATAATATGATAGCCATTTAAAAATATATTCCTAGTTCACTTGCTAAGTGTTTTATAAGACCAAAGAGAAAAAGAAAAAAAAGAAAGAAACAAGGAAGGAAGGAAATAATACTGAAGTCTTTTATATAGGTCTGTATAAATTTTATACATGGGTGCCATTTGGTCATCTACAACCCTAGGGAAATATTTCCAAATGCCAAATTTCTTCCACAACCAAATGAAATTTCTGTGTGAATTTACGGTGCCAAGGTCTTTCTCTGAGCTATACTGGGAAGCAGCTGTCACTGGCCCGGGGGCCTCCCCTGCACCAGATCACTGCAGCACCTGCTTTGGATGGGGGCCTACTGATGGGGACGGGGGAGTAATTTGCCACAACTTTTACCAAAGCAGACATTAAAACTGCGAGAAATGTTCCTTGTGTTATAAGGTCTGTTCACTTGTGGCAATCACTTAGCAGAGAAAGACACGTATCACTTTTGGGGCTAATTCTCATGGAGTGAGGCAAAGGGAGATCTAGGGACACCTCACTAGCACACAGAACTCAGCTGGTCACTGAGAACAGCCATCTCAAATATTCCAGGAAACAAGATGCCCCTGTACTTTCTGCTTAACAAAAGTCAGCTCTTCTCCTTTGTATTTTTAAAATCACAGATATAACACGTGTTTGTTGTAGCAAGTTGAATACGCAGAGGTATAAACAGAAAAAGTTAATTCTCCTCTCTTAATTATCCCCACCTTCTGGGCAATTCATACTATTAGTTTGGTGTCTGTCCTTCCCCACTTATTCTTTCTTCAGACAATCAATGCACATCTTTAGGGTTAATCTTTCCACCTCTGCACCTCTGACTTTTTTTTTGGTTTTTTTTGCAACATAAATAGCATTACATAATGTATATTCCTATTCAAATTGCTTTATTTAACCTAACAATTTATTATGAATACCCTCCTGGGTGAGTATATTTAGCTTTAACTTATTTCTAACAAATAGTTGTATATTACCTGGGAGAAAGAGCTCTTACCCATTTGCTGGATTTCAAGACATCACTGATTCCAAATGTTAATAATTGTTGTTGTTTTTTCTTGGAGGAAGGTGAAATGTTAAAAAGACCAATTTATATCATATGGTCTTTAAATCATTAAATTCCTAACTATATTAGGAAATGTTCTGACTTACAACGGGCTAAGCATATAAATATAAATATATGTATATCTTAGCTTTATATAAATGTGAATGTATAAATTTATATATAATGTATAATGTATAAATTTATATTTACATCTATATATTTTTATTTATATAAAGCTAAGAAATTCTTGACATCTCAGTGCAGCAGTAATGAGAATATTATTCCGAGGGTGTGTCTGAAGCAAGTTCCTGCGTAGGAAACTGGGCTCTCGACTGGGTCTTGGTACCAGGAACCCTGCTGGTGGAGCCCTCCCCTCTGCAGAGCAGCCTGGCCTGACCTGACATCTGGCATCTCTGTCAGTCTTCTGCACGCACAGTTGTCTTGCCACCTCTCAGATCTGGCTCCCCAAGGGAGAGAAGGCGCTGCAGGCATTAGCATGACAGTCACCCTCCCTCCCTTTGTTCTCTGGGCTGAGGTCAGACGGAATAAATCAATCAGACTCGGCATCCAAGTCCTTCAATGTCCGAGAGGCTTCCCCTCAAAGTGTGCCCTGCCCATCTTTTAACCGCCTGTTAGAGTCAGCAGGAGCAAAAAAGAACCAAGGGGCCCCTTTGGGTGGTCAGCCTCTGCTCCTAAGAACCCATCAGCTGTGTGGGTTCTCTGTGTGTTCCCAGGGTATTGACATTTTAGGTGAGAGCAGCCAGTCCAGACTCTGTGGGGCTAGTAGGAGATGCCACTTTTGCTCATTGTGCTCTGCCAGACCCGTGCTGTGCACTTAACATGTATCACTCGATCCTTCTTGTGTCATATGAGGTAGCCACTGTCTGCCTTCTACAGTGGATGAGATGAGGAAGCTCAGGCTCAGAGAGAACCTGTGGTTTGCCCAAGGTCACCCAGCTCCAGAGTAGAAGCAGCATGAAACTGTGCTTCCTTGCTTAGCCACACACCCTGGCTTTAGCTGCAGGTTTCAGGACTGTCTCCAGTTTCTCTGCAGGTGTCCTGGCCCCCTATGCTCAGCTGTGCTGGCAGTGGATTCATCTTTCCCAGGCCCCTGGAGTCCACGAGACTGGGACCCTGGTTGGACCCTGCAAGACACAGCTAACAGCTCTGCTGTAACCCAAAGAGTCAGTCAAATTCTTTGTCTGTCCAGGACCCCTAACGTCTTTAAGTACAGACTCTTTCAAGTCCACTCAAGCATTCTGATGAGAATGACAAGGTTTCAGACATGAGAATGCCCTAAAGATCATCCTTTCCAGCCCTCTCAGTTTGTAGATGAGGAGACAGGCTGGCGGGTATGTGCAGCTGAGTGGGTAACCTTGGTGGTGGAGGAGACTGATGGCAGTGGCTAGGGGATGGGTTCGAGCAGGGCTTGCAAACTATGACCTGTGTGCCAATCCAGTGCTCCACCTGGTTTTGTAAATAAAGTTTTATTGGAGCACAGGCACATCTTTTTTTTTTTACAGACTGTCCATGGCTGGCTCTGCACTACATCAGGGTTGAGCAGTTGTGACAGAGACTGTATGGAGACTGTATGGCCCTCAATGTCTAAAATGTTTACTATCTGGCCCTTTACACAAAAATGTTTGCTGACTCCAGAGAAAGACAGAGACATACAGGTTGATGCAAATTACTGGTAACTTTCTAGTTCTTAGAGTGAGAGTTAGGTTCATAGGTGTGTGTTATATGATGATGCATCAATGACTGAATGCTACGCTGGTCACAGATCATCTAGGAATGATTATTACTAAATTCTGTGCACCTGAAAATACATAGGAAGGAGGGGAAGGAGGGAGGAAGGAAGGATTTAGCCCTTATTAAGATTTAAATAGCTCTCTGTTACCTACATCTGACTTTCCTCCATGGTATCACAGGTGTTCCAAGAACGTTGTAGAAAAGGACAAAAGATAGCAGGCTGGGTAAAGTGGACTTTTCAGGGAGGGGGCAGGATGGTTATATTGGGTTCTGTGAGACTGGAAGGGGCATGGCCAAAGGAGGCAAGGGATCCCAAAGTTCTTAAGGACGGTCACAATCCGGTTTTCCAACTTCATTCACAAGGGTCCTCCTCCCTCGGTCCCACCAGAGTGGCATGAGGGCCCAGGTATCCTGGTCTTTGGTCAGTGTCTTCCTCCTCCCTGTCGAGTCAAGGCTGTGCTTTGGACGCTAGCAGCATAGAGGTCCTGCCAGGCATTCTCATGGGTAACCGTGAACATTTACTAAAGCATTCAGGGCCATGACACGCATTGCTTGCTTTAATTGAATCCTTGGAGCAATCTTGTGAAGCCAAAAATATCACTATCCCTGTGTTAAAGATGAGGCTATTAGGATCCCAGAGGGAGACTCACTCGCCCAGAGACATCGGGCGAATCCAAATCCAGACCCATCTAATTCCAAATCCCACACTCAACTGCTCTATTACACTGCCACTTCATGCTACATCAGTAAAAGCACGGTTTTCACCTTCCTTGCAGTCGCCTTGGGCATGGGAGCATTTTGGCCTCGCCGAGGAGAAGCCTCAGACACTGAAACCCCACCTCGGCAAATGACGGGGGGATTTGCACATTCAAAGAATGTTCCAGTCCCCAGTGGGAAAGCTCCCAGCAGCTTCAACTAGGGAACAGCCACAGTCATGGACACCTGGTGCTCATGGGGCAGCTTTATTGTTTCAGACGTGAAAAATGAGGGAAGGGCCAGAACCTCAGCATCAGGGAAATGATGAAAGACTGAGAAGTATTTCCAAAGTCAGGCGAACCGAAAGGTCAGTTCGGGGGGAGAAAGCAAAGGAGCAGCTGAGAAGTATTTGTGGCACCAGTGAGAAGAGACTGTGATGTCCACTAAAGGAAGCCATGACTATGAATTTCAGAGCATCAAGACCCTGTCAACACAAGCTAATCCCTACGGACGTTGGCTGAATAAGACGAAACGAGTGCACTGTGGAGACCGTGTCAGCCTCCAGCAGGCCAATTTGTCCTCATATTACACACTCTGCTGGCTCTGTTGCTAGACCCCCAGATCGAGGAGCCACGGCGAGCGTCCCCCAACCCGACGGGGGTTGACACAGCATGGTTAATAAGTCAACAGAATTCAGAAGCCACCACCGGATTAAGAAGGCAGTTTTATTTCGGTGCCCTGGACTTCAAGCAGATTAAATACTCAAAAAGGCTGAGCCATCGAGGTCATGTTTGAATGCTACAGCTGTTCACTGAGGTTTGACAAACATTCTCTCTGGGGCTCGCCATCTGAATGGGAAAAGCAAGGGTGATCCTGGGGAGGCCGACACTTTAAGAAAGAAGAGGGGCCCAATCAAAAGATCCTCTTATGGAAAACAATCCCAGCCAGATGGAGACGGTGGAAGCATTGCTTCAATAAGCAGTCTCCCGGAAGCCACAACCCTTTGCTGCATTGAAGAAAAAGCACAAGTGGGATTCAGAAAAAGTGAATGACAAGCTGGGCTCTGGGTTTGCCATGCCCTTGGTTTGTTGATCTGCAGATTAACAGAGGTGGGCCACGGGTTCAGCAAGGAAGCTTGCGGAGATTCAGTCATGAAAGGTGAGCCATGATGAATCCCCTCCTGCTTTAGAAAAGTTCTCTGTCCGTGAGAGGAAAGGGGTCCCTTCTGCAAGGTATCTGTGGGAAGCCTACTTCCTGGTTGCATCTCTCTAAAGACCAAACAGATTGAGAAAATGTCTCTAGTGGGGAATGTTTATTTGTGCCACATTGGGTCCAAAGAAGGGTGTGGGGACAAATGTGCTCAGCTATCGTTGGATATGCAGCCGGCCTGCTGCAGGCCATTTCATAGAAAATACAGCGCTTCGTGTTGGAGTTCATATATCGTCCCCTTGGGCAGGTGGGGGAGTGGGACCTAAGGAAGAAGGAACAAGCTGGATACAAGCTCAGAAGGACAAGGCTTTCATTAATAGATTAGTGGACTCTGTGGAAAACTTGTTCTCTGGCTTCAGATTAGATTTTGTGCAACTAATTGATGCCTGAGCCCCATAGTTAAAGTGGAGGCATTGACTCTTCTCTCCCAGGAAGATGTGTTGGCTTTGAAAAGAGTCATTTAGATTATTTGCAAAATTACAGAAAGGGAAACAAGGATTTTGCTCTTTTATATTTTGGAACAGGGAAGGGGACTCTGATGTTCTATATCCCTTGAGCTAAACTAAATGAAGCAGAATTTTCAGAAGACTCTCCACATATCTTCCCTGTTGCCCTAGGCACTGTTCATATCAGTAGAGAATTCAGAGGCCCAGTGCATTGGACAGCCACATTGTCTATTTCCCTACTCAAGGCCCAAAGCAAACAAACAAACGACCTCTTCTAAGAGCTCTCTCTATACGTAGACAACATCTTGAGTTTTAAATATTATTGTGTGGCCTCGTGAGTTCCTCTGCCAATTTAACAAAATGTCCTTGCCACATTTTGAAATTCAAATCTCTGGAACAAAACAGGAAGAATTATAGCTACTCTGGACAATGATCTAGCAGTATCTAAAAAAATGTCAACCCAGCATCCTCTCTGAACTTTGTGAGGAAGCTCCTGTTGATTCCAGAGACCCTCTTCGTAATTTCTGCATGGTCAGGTTGTCCCGTGCAAGGCCGCTCTCTGCAGCATCATCTGTAGTGAAGGCAAGCAGTAGCAACTCAAATGCCCACCAGTAAGGGAATGGCTAAATATTAAATCTGGCATGGTGTCACCGCGGAATTGCCTATAGCACTTAAAAGGAATGAACAAACCCTCTAGATATCTGCATGGATAGGTCAGCTTTGAGTGAACAGAGTAAATTGCAGAATGAGATGTGCCAAGGACTATATTTATGTAGTCTTAAAACACACTATATAAAACATCATGTAGCGTGTGGGTGGGGGGTATAAAAGTTTTACAGGTGGTAAAACATAGCAGATAAGGATCCTGGCAGACTCTGGAAGCAGACTGGGTTCAAATCACGATTCTGCTACTCATTGTCTATGTGACCTTGGACAAATGATTTAGCTTCTCTGTGCCTCAGTTTCCTCACCTTTATAATGGGGATAATAATGAAACCAGATTTACAAGGTCATGAGGATTAAATGTATAAGATTATATATATAATGCACTTATAATGGTGCCTGGCTCAAAACATGGGATACATGACTGTTTGCTATTGTTGTTGTTATGAAGTATTGTTTGTTAAAGGCCTAGAGGGATATATTGGTGATGGTAGGGGTGAGGAGGGTTCATGCTGGAAAACATCACTTGGGTGCTAATCAAAGGGATTTCAGTAATGCTTTGTTTCTTTAAGTTAAAAGAAAAAAGAGGTGAAAAATATGACAAACTATGAATGATTGACAGAACTTTGTTATAGGAATATGGGTGTTTGTTACATGCTTTTCTGCATTTTTAAAATCTCTTGAATAAAAAGTAGAGATGATAATCATTCATGGAATTATACCTGCAAACATGACATCAATATATAGGAATACTGTAAACCTACCCTATCCAATATGGTAACCACTGCCACCATGTGGCTATTTAAATTTTAATTAACTAATGGGGCGCCTGGGTGGCTCAGTTGGTTAAGCGTCCAACTTCGGCTCAGGTCATGATCTCAAGGTTTCTAAGTTCCAGCCCTGCGCCGGGCTCTGTGCTCACAGCTTGGAGCCTGGAGCCTGCTTTGGATTCTCTCTCTCTCTCTCTCTCTCTCTCTCTCTCTCTCTGACCCTCCCCTGTTCATGCTCTGTCTCTTTTTCTCAAAAATGAATAAATGTAAAAAAAAATTTTTAAATAAATTTAAATTAGTTAAAATCAAATACGAATAAAAATTCAGTTCCTTGGTTGCAGTAGTCGTGTTTCAAGAGCTCAGTAGCCACATGCAGCTAACAACTACCATACTAGACAGCAAATACAGAGCATTTCCATCACCACACAAAGTTCCATTGGACGGCACCAATCTGGAGCATACCTTTTGGAAATATGAATATCTGACTGACCTGCTATTTTTCTAAACTTCTGTCCTCCTATAATTCTGCTGCACCCTACAACAGGCATGTGCCCCCCAAGATTTTTTTCACCTTTCTATTTGACAGTCTTCCATCTCCCTATTACTGAGCCACCAAGACAGTGTTTTTCCCGAGGCCTCTGACCATAGTTAGCACAGAGTGTGCAACAGCTGACCACGCTGGGGAGGAACCCAGCCCAGCCTGACTTTCCTAAGTATGGGGAGTGACAGAATGTCTCGTACAGGTAGATGTAGATGTTAGCTGGCTCCGAGTCACCGTACTTGTGATTTCAAAGGGGGGACAAACGCTGACATCACTTACAGATTGGTTCTGATCTCAATTTCTTTTCATTGCTTGCAGGTGAACTGCTTCTGCTTTCCAGTGTGATCTTCCTGCTCCGGGTGGTGTGTGGCTGCCCCACGAGGTGCCACTGTCACTCACCCTCACGGTCTGTAGACTGCAGCCGGCAGGGTCTGGCTGAAATCCCTCCCGATTTGCCTCCTCAGACCCTAACGCTGCACTTGCAAGATAACCAGATACACCAGCTCCCTGCTTTTGCATTCAGGTCGGTGCCACACCTCAGGACCCTGAACTTGTACAACAATTCCCTTTCAGATCTGGCCCCTGGAGTCTTCCATGGACTTCAGCACTTGCAGGTCTTAAACCTAACCCAGAACTCCCTGCATTCTCTGGAAAGCAGACTTTTCCATTCCCTCCCACAGCTGCGGGAGCTTGATTTGTCATCAAACAACATAAGCCACCTTCCCATATCCCTGGGTAAGCCTTGGGAGAACCTGACGGTATTTGCAATTCAACAAAACCAGCTTCAGCAGCTTGATCGAGAGCTCCTAGAATCCATGCCCAACGTGAGGCTTTTATTTCTCAAGGACAACCTCTGGAAATGCAATTGCCACCTGCTCAGTCTTAAACTCTGGCTGGAGAAATTTATCTATAAAGGTCAGTAACGTCTATCTGGAACCTCTCACCTGTGTGTTACCGGCCTAGGATGAACCTCATCTGTTGTCTGCATTAGAAGGAACATCGAGGAGTGTGTGAGGGGCCAGTGTAAGCTTTTTCACACTGATGTCATTTCATGGTATGGCAAGAGAGGCAGTGAGTCATTAGAGACTGTTTAAATTCAGGATTTAAATGCATCTACAAACATGATTCACGGAGACAACTTTCCGCTTTTTGACTAACAACATTACTTATCTGAGAGCTGCAGGCCCCTAAGAAGGAGGGAAATTCAGTCACCCCCTCAATAACTGCTCAGCTCCAAAGTGGCACCAAACTCTAATTTTCAAGTGTGATCCAGCCCAGTATCTCTCCTTGGGAGTTTCCCCCTGTGTATGCATCTACCAATTTGATAGCTACAAATCTTCCCTAAGATTATCCCTTGTGCTTTAGCAAATACCACTGTTATTGAAATTGGATGCAATAGGGACCCCTCTCTAAAGTTGTTTACTATTTCTTCACCAGATGATAAAATCAAAGAAAAAGAATCTAGAATATTAAAGATGGGGGCTCTGGAAATCACCCAGAGGGTCACCAAACTACAGCCCAAGGGCAAAATCCAGCCCCACTCCTGTTTTTGTAAATATTTATTGGGAGACATCCAGGCTGATTTATCATGTCCTTAGCTGTTTTGCACTATAAAGGCAAAGCTGAATAGTTGTGACAGAGACTATTTGGCAAAGCTTAAAATATTAACTATTTGGCTCTTTATAGAAAAGTTTTCCAATCCCTTCTAACTCAATGCTAGCCTATAATCAATGGGAAATGGAGGCCCAGAGATGATCAGTGACTTCTCCAAAATGACAGAGTAGAAGCACAGATAAGAATAGCATGAATGACTGTTGGGTCTTGGCTGTACATTCTTTCCTCTATAGCACAATGCTTCTTTCCTCTTAATTTTCAAGCATCATTCATTCATTCATTCCTTCATTCCTATACCTGAGTGCCACTTATGTGCCAGGCACTTTTCTAGGCAATGAGAAAATGTGAACAAGAAAATCTCTACTATCATGGAGGTTACAAGCTGATAACAGAAACAGATGTTAAATAAGATGGCCAATAAATATCTAAGTTCAGACAGCACTAGGCACTTGGCACTGGGAAAACAATGAGGCAGGGTGAGGGGAGAGACAGTGATAGGATGGGGGTCCCACTGCAGACGGGAAGGACAGGAAAGACCTCTCCAAGGAGGTGACATGGGTGAGCAGAACCTGAACAAGGAGGAGAAATGAGCCATGAGATAATTGGGAAAAAGGATAGAAAGTGCAAAAGGTCTGACAGGGGAGTAAGCTTGGCTTGAGTGAGAGACAAAAGAGGGACGAAAAGTGGCTAGAACAGAGGAAGGGGCTGAGAGAGCAGAGAGATGAGGCAACACAAGTACTCAGGGGCCAGGTCAGGTAGGAATGCGCAGAGCGGGCTGAGTCATTTGGATTTTATTTTAGATGAAATGGAAATCCCTTAAAGAATTCTAGTCAAGGGAACAATATCTAATTACATGTCAAAAGGTGACTCTGGTGACTCTAGGGAGAACAGACAACAGGCTGCAGAAGCAGCAGCAAGGGGATTAGGGGAGAAACTGATTTCAGTCACCCAGGGAAAAGAAGATGGTAGCTCAGACCAGTGTTATGAGAAATGACCAACTTTGGGAGATACTTGGAATACTGAACAGATAGAAATTGCAAATGGACTGGAATGGGAAATGAAGAAAAGAGAGATTATGGGAAATTCAATTTGTATTGTCCTGTGAGATTAACCACATAAATAGTGACGCCAGGGGCTGATAAGGGACAGACCTCCACTTCCCATTGATTATCGGCTAGCATTGAGTTAGAACAGGTTGCAGTGCAGGTCTTGAGGCTGCCTTCTTTGGCAAGTGGGCTAGTATATGGGGGAGACCATAAATCGAGAGTTGAATTGGGGGCGAGTCAAGTTCAGGATGCCCATTATATATCCAATATATACCCATATATATTATGGGTGCTGTTGAGTTGGTGGCTGTATGTTTGAGCCTCTAACTCAGGAAGCTATCAGAGCTATAGACATGAATTAGGGGATCAGAAAAGTCTGGATGGTTGTAGCTGTCACATAGAGGGAAGGCGGATAGAACACAATGTGAGTTCAGACATACAATACTGAACTAAGAATCCCTCTCAACAATATAACAGCAAATAGCCTATCACTAGCCAAATAATCTTCAAGTTGACCTACAACAGGGGGCATGCAATGTGGCAAAAGTCGTTCTAATAAAAGGCTGCAATTAAAACTTTTCACACCTAGAGGCAAAGTGGCTTTAGCAATTGTGTTCTGACTAAATTCTAAGCATACACTAAACCATCACAGAAAGAAAGTTTTCATCAAAGAACATTTCTGGACAAAAGATAGTTGCCAGGTCCAGGATACTAGAAGCAGCATGGGCTAGAAGAAAGCTCCCCTACTCTGCCACAAACTCACAAACTTTGACCCCTGGGCACATTAATGTCCCTCCCAACCTCTCAGCATCACCAGGTGGAAGCTGACAGAGTTAAGCCAGAAAGTTCCTGGAGCACATTCTGATTCTTAGATTGCATCATGAACAATAGATACTGAATAAGGCAAAACAGATACTGGTCAAGACCTTATTTTTTAAAGGCTACATAAATAAATACAAACACTAACAGTATGAGTCAGGACAGGCTGGTGGATATGACACCCGTGTCAGTGATGAGCACAATTAAAGTCTGTGGCTTACTCTCGTTAGAACCAAGGGGCGAGGTGGGGCTGGGTCCCATGCAGTCGTTCATGGACATAAGCCCCTTCCAGCTTCTGATGGTGCCACTTTACCACGTGGCCTCTAAGGTCACCATCAAGTGGGAATAGATCACATGGAGGATTAAGCAGATGGTTTTGTGGCCTGAAAGTGGCATTCATTATTTCCATGGGCCAGAACTAAGTCCCCAACCTGACGACAATGGGCAGAGAAATTTTGCCTTCCTGTGGGCTCAAGAGCCAAAAAATGTGCTTTCATGAATACCTACTAAACATCTCCTTCACAAAAGGAGGCACATAGATTTTGTAATCTGTATTCCTCTCTCTCCATTCAAGAGTATTCAAATCATCTTCTTGTCAATAGCTAACTGTAACATTTACAGTTAGGTATTGTGTTAAATACTTGACATACTTCACCCAACTGAACCTCGGAGTGATCTTGTGAGATGAATTTCACCATTACCCTCCCCTCCCACTTTCCAGATGAGCAAGCAGAGGCAAAGAATGACCAAGTACTTGCTTACGGTGGCACAGCTAAGTCACAGACTCAAAATCTGAATCCAATTTCTTCCAAGACACTGGTTAAGAGCTACTGGTGGCCAGATAGGGGATAATGAGGGCTCGGCAAGCTGCAGCTTCTTGCATTATCAGCTGCTATGAATCTAGAAGGGAGGGGGCCTTTCCCTTGATGACGCTCAAGCTGTCATCAGCAGATTTGCCTTTTGGGGTCATGGCTGAGGAGATGGTAGTGGAAGGCTGGGAGGTGAATCCCAAGGACACAGCTGCACAGGTGGCCAGGGAGCTCTTGGTGGCCATAGCCTCTGACTTCCAGGATGTCCCTGGCTCCAGCCTGTGTATTTCCTCAGCACTCTGGGTCCCAAGGCCACGAGTCCCACCCTAATACTGATCATAAGGAAGCTTTAAACTGGAGAAGATACTGTGTAAGCCTGGAGTGATGGGGTGGACCACCCCAGTCTAAGAATGGGTCAGCTGGTAGAACTGTTGGTCCCATGGCTGGCAGCCTTTCTTTCCCTGGGGGGTGTCTCAGTGTTCTTTGGCCAGTTTAAATGTCATTACTTCTTCTCAGACTTCATTTCAGTCTCTGTGGCCTTCTGTCTTATAACAAGTTGCTGGGCAGAGGCATGAAATGGTCCATGAGGCAGGGATCTATAGTCTCAGCATAGCCTAAGGGCACCTAGGGCTCATCAGGAGCAACCACCCTGTACCTCTGGGCTCCTGCATATGAGCTCAGGAAAGGAAGAAATACTTCTCATACCTTTTTGCTTTAGAGTTGGGGCTCTTGCCTCAGGGGATTACTGAAGAAGCCAGGAGGGACCTAAGAGACATTAGTCATAGGCCATTCAGTTTCAAGCAGTGGTGACCAAAAAGTATGGGTTGAATTTTGCCATAGCCACTAATCCCAGTGTGACCTGGGCCATGATAATGCTTGCACTACAAAATGGCTCCATCTACTCACAGGGCCTTGTAGGACTCTGCTTATGAGACCCAGACAATGGATGGAAGCTGTGCAACAGGTTATAATTACATTGAAGTGACCATCTCCTGCATGTGATTTTTCTCGCATAATTCCATAATCCACCTGTGGTGTGTACAAAGAACCTAACTTGGCCAAGAGTGGTGCCAGGCTTCACAGCCATCCTGGGGGAGGAGTTCATGGCAGCTGGGGGAGCTAAGCTGGGGGAGCTGAGGTCATGCAAGCCAAGTTCTGACTGGTCAAAGGGCCTAACTGAAGGTCATTGTGTTTACTCCACTGACCTAAAGAGGCTCCAGAGGAGAGGGAGAAAAGGGAGGAGGAGGTGGAGAGAGGCTGTGAGTGCAGTGGGAAACTGGGATCAAGAGGAAGGGCAGGGTTTGAGTGCTGATCCACCCACTTATGGCCTGGGTGACCTTGGACAAGAATTTCCCATTAGAGCACAGTTGTGAGGACTTCTCTAGCACCACTTTGTAAACTATCAAATCAGATACAAATATGGTGTTTTAATGGCAAAAGATCTAACCAGAGAAATCAATTTGCCAGAGGTCAAACAGTAAATCAGTGGTCATATGTGGCCAGAATGAAATCTGTTAGCTCAGTGCTCTTTCTAGAAAACAATTACTGGGCACCCAAATCCACTCCCCACCCCTGAACAACACTAGTCTACATACCTGAGGAAATCAATCACCTTACAGAGAATGGAAACTGGCTCTAATAACGTGCTGGAAAGTTCGGTACCCAAATTACTGAATGTTCCAAGGCCCGAGGAGACACATTAATTGTACTTAATCCCATGAATTAAACTAATATTACTGTCAAAGACACACAAACACTCAAAAGGCCATTGACCTTCCCTTTTGGCATCACTGAAGACAGGTGGTAGACACATGGGGTCTTTGTAATTAACACATAACATCACAGCAAAGGACATTTATTTCATTTACCTGTTGTTTCAGATTTCTGGTGGGAATTTGGTACAGTACCTGTCTCGTGGGGCAGGGTTCTTTGGGGGGTGGTGGTGATGAGTGGCAGGCATGTTGTGCCTCAGGTTGGCCTCCAGTTCCCCTTTTTGTCAGCTTCTACAGGGCTTTTCCCTCAGCATTTATCAGGTAGCAGTGACTTGGATTCTAACGAATTCTTGGTCATACATAATTGCCCATTTAGTGTGTAACGTTTCTAGCATTTAGCCAACTTAGAAATCCTAAAATCATAAAGTCCTTTGACTCCAAAGATGGGGGAAAAGGTGCTTTATATATCATATCTACCTAAGCTTTTGCAGGCTGAGGATTTTGGAATCCAGTCCTACCAGGCTCTGTTGTCAGCCTTTGCTTTTGTTTTTTAAAGGGGGAATAACAGACAGTGTCACCTGTGCATCACCCGACACCTGGAAGGGGAAGGACCTCCTGAAGATCCCTCATGAGCTGTACCAGCCCTGCCCTTTCCCTTCTCTGGGTGTGGGGACATGGGGGGTGCAGCAGCTGGGTTCTGCCCACCGGCCGGGCCCCGGGTCTCCTGAGAGCCCCAGCACGGGGCAGCGAGACCACTCGGAATGTGAGCTCAAACCCAAGCCGAGGCCGGTTAACCTGCGTCACGCGGTGGCCACCGTCGTCATCACCGGGGTTGTGTGTGGGATCGTGTGTCTCATGATGCTGGTGGCCGCCATCTACGGCTGTACCTATGCGGCTGTCACAGCGCAGTACAATGGGGGGCGCTTGGCTCAGACGGACGAGCCTGGGAAGATGGAAGGGAAAGGGCCGCATGACCTCGCACAAGCCTGAAAGCCTCCACCTCAAAGAGGAAGAATCACGTTAGGCCAGAAGAAAGTGTGGAGTCGGGCTGATGCGTTCACTGTGACTGTCTCATTTTGCTTTTTTCAAAAGGAAAACAAAAAACATCCCCAGGGAAAAATTATGTTGAGATTTAAAAAATACCATGTTGAAACAGAGACAATACTGGTGCTCTGCGTCTGAGAAGTTACTGCAGTTACTCTGTGTGGGGGAAGGCCATACCCCGCGAAAGTCAGGTACTCTTCCCTGGCTTACGTGGCTTTAAAGAGCATCAGAAATTCAAACACACGCACTAGTCAGCATTCCCGGGAGCTTTATGGTCCACTGGAAAACTGCCCAATTTTGAGTGCCTGGGAAGAAGCTGGCTATCTTACCCGAGGGGCACTGAATGCCTCTATAATTCAAATTCATGTGAGATCAGTGATACTTTTAGATGTTCTGCATGTTATATATTTAATGGGAGAGTCTGTTGGTTGGGAATTGCATAGCTTGCCACAAGAGTCAGATTATATTTAATTTTCTAAATCAGAAAACCATTTGGGGCTTTCGAGGCCACAGAGGAAGAGGAGGGTTCCATGTCTGGATAATGGGACTCAGGCTCAGGGTCTGGGGAAGTTTTCTGATGCAAGGGTAAATAACATATAAACAAACACTAAGAGGATGGGGAGCTGGAATCCAGGGCACATGTTACCAGAAGGCTGTATCCACCAGGCGATTGGAACCTTCCATTTATAACTCTTACAGCAGGAACGAATTTAGGGTGGGCTGAGAGCAAGATAATGGCTTGTGTGTATCTGTATCTACATACATAGTGCACCGAGTGCACAGACTTGTACAACCACACCCACACATAAACATACTCGGAGCAATCAGTTTACCCACTAATGAAATGCAGCCGTGGCAGGGTGGAAGCCAGCAGCTGTTGACCACCACCCAGATTGTCTACTCAACACTCTGGGGTAGGAAGTAGGAAGGAAGTCTGGGGAGAGTGGAAATCATCAAGAGACTCAAGTTAGGTGGCAGCAGCCATCCTGAATATTGTTTGGGCCGAGGTTTAAAAAAATCAGGTGTGGCCTGCTTTACTCCATGGACACAGTCCTGAAGAGTTGCATGCAAAGTGAATTTTTGTAAATTAAATCATCATTGTAATGCAGTAGGGGAGCTCGCTATTTAAAGGAACCTTTCATGGAATCTTTCTGTAATGGCAATAATTGACTCCAGATTTATGTATTTTGTAAATTTGCATTTTCTCATGTTAGGTTTTCTTAAAATGTCATCTACCTGCTCTCTCTCATGAATCCGTATCTCACACTTAGAGTCACCTGTTAGTATTAAAATCATTTTACAGAGAGGAGTTAAGGACATGTCAAAAGCAGAGACTGGCAAATATAGGGTCAGCTGTCCCTCCAGAGGCCTTGACAGACATCGCTAATCAATCCCAGCAATCCTCCCAGCTGAGCCTTGATGCAACACAGATGCCTTCTTAAGACAGCACTGTAGGCAACCAGAACTAATCAATTGGAATTGGTTCAAAGGATAAAACACATTTGCCACTCAGGGCACTGGCTCTACATTCACTCCTTCAGGCCATGTAAAACTCAGTTTGGATCCTAAATTAGTAGTCCATTCCCTAACCTGGAATGTGAATGGGAGGTCCACACAGGCAGGAGTTATTTTCTCCCTGTCTGATGCAGCCAGAGCCTTGGCCAATAGTATAAAGAGGCCAAGGGAAATACGGATGAACCTACCACAGCCCACCTTGCAGGACACACACCTATGCACCCCTAATCACCACAGAGGCCATCTACACCTGCCCACAGAGACTCACAACTAGTGTGGGCCCCACATACCACAAGCTAAAGATGGACCATCTTCTTAGAGCAGCAATTTTGCTAAATGATTTTCTGGGGGCAGCGGCGGGGGGGTGGGGCACGTATCAACTTTGATGTTAATTTTTTTCTGAATGTTAAAATAAACCTTGATATGTTGAAAGTAGATTGAAAACTCATCATGGATTTTCAGATCAAAAACAGACCCCAGAGAAAGCTGGCTGTTCCAACAACTCCATCCCAAGCCCTGGGGCCTCTTTTCTGCTCTGCCTTGGGAGGCACTTCAGTGGGCAAGGCTAAGCATCCAGTCTAAGGACACAGTGGTTATTTCCAGGTGAAAAAACTCATTCTTGCCCTTGTCCTGGGCTGTAAGTCCTTGGCCAAGAAGGCAACACAAGAAAGGAAATTTAGAAGATCTTTTCATATGTCGTCCCAATTTCACCAAACCTTTCCAGAGCTTGCACTAGGTACCAGGCACGGTGAGAGGTGTTTTTGTGAGCATCGGTCATGTAATCCTGGAAACCAGCTCCGAGATACTTGAACAAGTGTTACAAAAGCTGGGTGGTACCCAGGCCAATAACACGTGCTTCCTCTCACCACTGTGACTTAAGATCGCGAGTGCACAGTGTTCTGCCGGAGGTTTGGTGCCACTGCAGGTCAACCCCGATCCCCCACCCACAGTGGTTACATGAGAGAGCTTCCAATATGCCGCAAAAAACCCTGAATGTGGCTAGAATCCTCACTCATCAACACCCATGTCCTACTAGATTTCTAAGTACAGACGATAACTCAGGCAAACAGATTCCTGTTTTATGAATAGTCTTTAAGGCAAATGATTAAAACAATGCCTATGTATATTCAGATTTCGATCTTTTGCCTACAGTCACCACAAACAGCAGTTGGCAATGAAAATAATTACTCACCCTGAAATGTCAACAGCCTCTCAGCACAGAAAAATATAAATCAAATTGTTTAGATTAACAAATGCAGAGTTATCACTTGCTAATATGAGAAATGAAATGTTTCAACTACAAAAAACATCGCAGATGAAAGACCCAATTTGCAGGGTATTCTGTGAGAACCACAAATTATCTTTTACAATGACTACAGCTCATGAGGGGTAATTTGAAAACGCCTCATAGATTATTTTCAGCTGCTTATTGCTGCTGTCATATTCATAAATCCCCCTATACAAATGCCCTTCTATCATAGAGCCTTGATAAAGGCACGTTGTGGACAAAATTCATGCATGGTATGGATGGATTCTGAGAAAACTGTCTAAAATATTGTTTTTCATCATACTGAGTGGAACAGTATGACTACAGACTGGTGATTTTGGTCTTGCCTGAGATCACAAATTTACAATAGCAGGACCCAACGGATGCTATAGCTGTCTGAAGTGAGGCATATAAAAAGGAAGTATAAAGAATAGACCCTGCCTGCAAATAGAAACTGTAGAGAGAGAAGACCTCGCGGGAAACTGATACCTGAAAAGCTTTTACAATTAAGGCAAATACCCCCGACTTGCAGGGAGAATGTTGTGCTTACGATGGATAAACTGCCCAATGGACAACTGGGTGTTTTATTCTTCCTCACAAAATTCCAAGACTGAAAAGTGATTCACATGATTTCCTCCTGAAGATTCATAAAAGTCCAGTCCCATTACCTGAGTTAACCAAGTTACCTCAGAAATAAGACACTCTTGTCTTAGATCCTAAATATCAAAGGAAGTAGATAAATCAATTTCTAAAATAATCTATGTATAGTACACATTAATATAACTATGACTGCTAGAAACCTATAACTTTTAACTGGAAATCAGGAAATAACCCCTTCTGGTTTGGTTAAACCCACTAGTGTATCCATTGCTAAATGTTAATGGACAGAAACCTACCAGCAAATGATGTTCCAAACCCTACATGGCATCACAGGGATGTGGTTTATATGCATAACTTTAGGGAACTGTCAAGAGAGGGTGCATGCTCATGAGCAGGGAAGGGGCAGAGGGAGAGGGAGAGTGAGAATCCCAGGCAAGCTTGCTTGCTTTCTTTTTCTTTCTCTCTTTCTTTCTTTCTTTCTTTCTTTCTTTCTTTCTTTCTTTCTTTCTTTCTCTCTCTCTCTCTCTCTTTCTTTCTTTCTTTCTTTCTTTCTTTCTCTCTCTCTCTCTCTCTCTCTCTCTCTCTTTCTTTCTTTCTTTCTTTCTTTCTTTCTTTCTTTCTTTCTTTCT